TCATAAATGATAGTCAGTCAAGCAATGGAGGATGAGAACTGACACAATTACAATGTCTGCTAAATGAAAGTGAGTAAATGATAGGTCTTGAAATTATTTTAAATATGTATATATATGTAAATAATTGTGAAATTGGAGCTAAATTCTTCCACAGTGTTTTAGGGTTAATAAACCCCATTTCTACTTTATTGTTATTACCCAATTGAAGGATAGATATCTGTATTATATATTATCGACTTCTACGCAATATTAGTTTTCAGATTTAACTAATTTGCATATTGATTTTAAGAAAGTATATTTCATTAATTAACTGTCCTTCATTCTGTTTTTTTTTATACGAGGATTGTTTTGATTTTCATATCAAAATTTGTTCTATTTAAAAATATTTTCTTATATATTGCAGAAAATTGGTCGAAATTTGGATTTTACTTGGCCTTTAAACAAATGGGCAGCTATAATTTGTAAAACATTCCTTAACTATAACAATCCTGCTCCCACATCCGACTAATTAATTTCAACTGTCTTTACAGTCATATTTTTGGAACAAATATATTGAACGTCCACAGCCCTTTCAACGTTTCATATATATATATATATATATATATATATATATATATATATATATATACGAAGAGAAAGAAAAAACATATTTAGAATCCACAATTCTTTAGCATTTACTTTTTTAAAAAATGTGCTCAATACAATGTAAAGCTGAATTAAAAAAGTTACCTATTGTTAGAGATATACATATCTCCCAGATTATTTCTTCGTAACATAAATGTTTATTTTTAACCAGAAGTATGAGGTCGTATCTTAATATGACAGTTCACCAAGATATGTATGAATACCCACTCACACCATGTAACCTATATTTTTTTTTAACTTTTCTGCGTTAGCTTTGAGCTGTGTTTTGATTAGTTAAAAGTGACACACCCATAAAATTTTAAAATCCGTTACCCCTCCTACTTAACTCTTTAATGATAAAAATGTTTTCTGTTTTCAAAAGTAAATCATTTTCATCAAAAGTTACCGAACATTGCCTGATGACAGGAGCAAATGATTTTAAATCCCGAAACATAGAAATTTCATTGTCGCAATATATATATATATATATATATATATATATGTGTGTGTGTGTGTAAATATATATAAGCTGTGAACTACAAACTTCACATATATGTGCGAAGCGTATCTTAACGTAAACAAATTATATAATATATATTATGAAATAGATTATTTTCGACAATTCTTTTAATATATTTTATTGTTTACGCATCATTTTTATAGATACTAATATTTAAATATAAATATAAATATAAATGATTTGTTTATTATAAGCAGTATTAGCAACATTTATCGGCCTGAATATCCGAGAAATCTGAAAGAAAATATATGTCCTCCAACAGGAATCGAACCTGCACCTACTCGGAACTGTCATATAGCCTGCCATACTATACTCTTTAGCTACAAAGGAAGTGCCTCGTTTACAATGTTAAATTACTGTTTTTAAACTACAAACTTCCTATGATTTCCAGTTGGAGGACACATATTTTCTTTGAGATTTCTCCGACATTCATGTCGGTAAATATTGTTTAATAGTGTTTATTATAAACAGAGCATTTACTTAAATATATGTATCTATAAAAAGAACGTATAACAATGAAATATATTAAAATAATTGTCGGACAAAGTCCATTTCAGAATACATGTTATCATTTGTTTAACTTAAGATACGCTTCGAGTAGATATGAACGTTTGAGAGAAATCATTGGACGTTTGTAGTTTAACCTTGCTAATATTTACGTTGTGTTTATGGGTTAAAGTGTATAATATCATGGATAGAGGGTATGTAAGTATAAATGCAGATACTGAGGTGAAAAGAAAACATTCTAAGAAGAACTAAAATATGCCATCATTTTTGTTGGTAGGAGTGTACTACAAAAGGAATAAAGTTTTCTAGTCAATTTTCGACGGGGTTATAAGGCCTTGTAATTACAAACGACAATTCTTTTTTTTTTTTTTTTTTTTGTACACGTCTTTCTTCTAGAACCGTTCTAACCGGCCATATTTAATTTCGTTTTTTCCGTTATTATATTTCCGACTATCTCGTTACTTTTGTTCATTCCCTTCCGTCCCGAATTCACCAAAGCCTCCATTAGTCGCTCTCCTCATCCTCATCCTCCTCCTCCGCTTCTTTTACTTCTTATCTCCCTCTCTTAAGCTTTCTCTCTACACAATCACGCCTCCCACCCTCATTTACTTGACTTAGTCGCACACTTTCCCTCGCCGTTTACACCCATTTCAAAAACCTATTCTTCTTTATCCCTCGTCTCCATCACTTATGATCGAACAATCAATCTCCAGTTTCGCCTCACTCGTATTATAATCACAGTTGAAACAGTCCACACGCGGTTCTTATCTTCATCTAAACATGTTCACTAGAACTTCCGCTTATTCTTTTGTCCCTTATTTTCTTTTATTTATTTATGACTTTCCCCCT